CTTGATTTTGTTGTCTTCTTTTTACAATGCAACAAAAAGTTATGCTTCTGTCTGTTTTTTTTAACATTTATTTTTTAATTTTAGGTTGACACTATATCTTTATTTTACATTTATGTGGCTCTGAGGATCGAACCCAGTGCCTTATGCATACTAGGCAAGCACTCTGCCACTGAGCCACAACCCCAGCCCCTCTGCCTGTTTTACTTTGGGATTTGTGTGTGTGTGTGTGTCTAAGAAATTTTTAAAAAAGGTCAAAGAAGCACTGAAATATATGATCCAAAAATTTTGGACTTTACTGAACTTTCCAATATTTACAAATATCAAGATGTGGTTATCATTTAGCCAAAATGTTTTGGCATCTTATAGACCTAGCCTTGAAAATTTTAAAAGGGATGTTTAGCTGTTCTATGAAAAGGACAAAGTTCAAGTCATGGAAAAAGAATGTAAGCTGAGAGCCACCAATGAATACACACAATTCATTTGAATCCAGCAACTGCTGAGGTCCTATTTCTGTTCTTACTATAAAACTTGGAAGAAAAATAGAGAGAGGTATCGGAAGTCAGAAAAATAAAGAACAGGGTGGCCATTGTTTGGATTTGAAGGTCAAGTGTACAGGACTGCTCCATCCTACTATAAAAAGGTCCAGATCTGGGAAGTCTTAGATATCTTAGAAATCAGTATTCGTTTCACTGTCTTTTCTAGAATCTGACCCAGTCACTGTAATCATTTGTGTAAATCTCTGCTTATCCTAAAAACAATCAGAACACCACAGGAACTATACAATTTTATTGTGTAGAGGTGAATCATAATGTGTGGTTTTGATATAATTTTCCTACCCTTTTTTTTTATAAATTTCTAATGTCTAAGAACGTTTTTATGTTATTTTATTAGTTTATAAAATAATATTCAATATCTTAAATAATGTACTGACAGTGATTGCTGCTAATGACTTTCTTTCCCGCCCCCCAAATGAATATACATTAAAGATCATAATGAATTCAGGGGGAAAGGGCAAACCTGCACGAATATAAATAAATAAATAAATTAGAATTGACTTGTTATAAAAGATTACAGCTTTTCTCCTATGATAATTTGGTAGCATATTCTCATTATAGGACTTATTAGTTATAATTTCTTTTGCTATTTGTTATTAGATTAAATATAAATTATTATAATTAAAAGAGTTACAATTTTCAGGAGACTGTTTTTTGTAACTTTATCATAAGAGAGGGTGACCTATTTGTAATGGATGACACTTTTATTTGAAATTACATGAATCATTTTTTTTTCCTGTGGTAATGGTTGATACTTATTAAGCTCCAACTGCTTTCCTGGGTTTACAATCAATTTATCTTCCATTTTGTTGTTGAAGAAAGTATAATGACTCTAAATTATTTGGTAAATCTAAAATAAACAGAATACTTCTTTAATCACTTTTCAAATTTAAGAACATATTATTCATTAAAGAGTGCTTTTTCTAATATGGCATCTTTGATTATAATCTTACATTTATTTCACTTTACAATTGACACAGCACGTAGAAAATGAAGAAATGTCTCAACCAGAAAAAAAAAAAAAGCCACAATGTTACCCAGAGAGAATTCACACCTTTACAAAAGCTTTAATCTTATCAGATTCACCATAGCTGAATTGACTCTATAGGAATTTGTATTTTTTTTTCAAAATACCATTTTGTTGTTCTTTGTTCTTTGACTGGATATGAGTACAGGCAATTTTGAGAAGGTAGAGGAATGTTAACCAGCATCTCACATTACTGAATATTTATTTTAGTTTCATCACAAGTTTATGTCATCACAAGATTTAAATAACAGAACCCCAAAAGAAATACCTAAAATTTTTAAGAGTCATTTCAAACTTGAAGCCATTTAATGTTGATTGCAGCTGAACGTGTCTACACATAGGAAAAATAAAATCACAAATTTAAATAGGGAAAAGAGAATAATGAGGAATATGAGAACTAGATTTAGAGAAAAGATGTCTGATTTTAACCCAAGCATTTTTGCCCAAGAAAAYGTAAGATAATTGAAGCGATCCAGAGTTTATCTTGCTCATTGCCAAGAGGGTCTCAGAAAGACTTCTGTCTCAGTTATAAAACTGTGCAGAAAGTTCCTGTGATTAGATTGAAATTAGAATGGAAGGAATGAAGAGATAAAAATAAGTGCATTTGAAAGCAGTGGAAAATAGCTGTTAACCAGAAAGTATTATCTGTTTTTTTTTAGTGAAATAGTTCAGCAGTAATATTTTAAAATGTGTAATTTGTTTCTAACGTGATTCCATACATAAGCCATCCAAATTTTAATTTGTCTATATACAGAAACCAATAATTCTGCCCAAACTTACTTAAAAATTAAGTCTATAACATTTTTCAATTGGAAAGGTATTTTCAGTGTTTGAAATTATACTATTAAAAAGTGATTCTTTTTGTTTTTTAGAATTGAAGTTGTACAAAGTAACAAACAAAAAGAATATTATATTCAGTATTATATTACATTTATATTTATCATCAACATATATCATTACATTTAGAATTGATATAGATCAAACAAAATCTCCATTGTTTTCAGTTGTTGATGGACCTTTGTTTTCTTAATTTATTTTTATGTGATGCTGAGAATCAAACCCAGTGCCTTACACATGCTAGGCAAGCACTCTACCAGTGAGCCCCAACCCTAGCCCTCTCCATTTATCCTTTAGTATAGAAAATTATTGATGTTAACATGCTAGCACCTTTGGTAAAGTAAGTAAAAGATATTGTATTGAGTCTACTTCACTTAGACCCTAATTTCCTGCCTGGTCAAGAAGATCAAACACAATTCATATTTACCCTCTACTATATAAACAGGTAGCCTTTGAGTATATACTATGCAAATTATTATATGCCCTTTACATGTCACCTTAACATTATCTCTTGGAAGATATATTATGAATAAATTATTAATCTCATTTTCTAGAAATGGAGGCTCCAGCATTTAAGGAAATCATATTGGTGTGCACATCTAGGGTACCAGTACTGTGATGATGTTTCTGTGTGGGCTTATAGAGGGATGGCTCCCAAAACTGTTGCTATAGTAGTTATTTCTGTTTAACGTCTACTTGATGATTAGAGCTCTCATATGTGGTTTTATTGTGATTTCTATTAAAATCCACTCATGCATCTTAGTTGCCCTTTTCATTTCTTAATATATTTATGAAAATATCTTGATTTAGGCTGCGCTGACATTTTTTTTTTWAAGTTTGCCTGGCTACGTATCATTTGGCTTCTCCAGTACTAGATTCAATTGTAGGTTTTACAATTTGAAGGAAGTGTGAAGGGCAGCTATTTGATAAATATATCTTCTTAACTGGCCAGTCAATGCCTGAACATATTATGTAGCCCCTGCCTTTAGCACAGTGCCTTTCCATCTGTACACAGAGTCTTGAAATTTCAGTCATATTGACTCTGAGTAGTATTGATCTTTTCAGTTATTTGGATGTTAGTGAAAAGAAGGCCATTTAAATTCAAATATCATGTAGTATATTCTTTCTCTGGAGACTAATAGCTCTTATTCATTTCAACAATGACTCATATGAATAAAATTCTTTTTTTTCGTTCCTTTCTTTCTTTGCTTCTCTCTTTCATTCCTTTATTTGGAAGAGAAGAGTACAGGAGAGTGAGGTCAGCTCAAGATTATACTAAAGAAATCTCACGAAGAAATCAGAAATGTATCTTTAAGCAACTTGTTTACAGTTCTTGCAATATTGCCTGTAAGATAGATTAGTAGATAAAAAGATATGTACTCATTGTTGACCTGATAATATGAAAAAAAGAAGCAAATAAGTTGTAAATGATAAGCTATTAATTATATGTTTCCTGACATGAGGAAGTGTTAATTCTGGCAGATAAGTCATTTGTATGAATAATTGCAGTAATTGACAGTGTGTAAAGTTGTAAGACTAATTCAAACATGCTATAACAAGAAGCTCTATAAAAATTTCTTGGAAGTTACACTTGTACTAGCTTTTAAGAGTAGGAATTATCTTGTCCAGGTAGCATGTCGCTGTAGGAGTCAAAAGGAATGGCACAGAGGCCAAAAAGTGTACAACTACAAAGTATGTTTTCCTGCTTGACAAAGGACATGAAGCCAAGAAACACTGGTCTTAGGTCTAAATTGGAATGAGCTTGACTTGACTGCCAATACTAAGTTAAGGAATTTTAACCTCTCTTGAACTTTAACCTCTATTGAAATCATATTTTTGATAACAGGATGGAAGCCATTAAGAGAGAGAGATAAAGCAAGGCAATGTATCACATGAATGTAAACATGTATCACATGTTTCCTGGGGATAGGGCTAGGACAGAGAAAGGGTCTGCATTGTTACTTTCTCTCTGAAAGAAATTCTACATTTCGTGAATTCTGATAAAGGGTTCCTACTATGTACTGGAAAAACCTGAGGCATTAATTCAGGGAATAGTTTTGAAAAATATAGATGGTGAAAATAATGACATAATGATCCAAAAGACATATTAAAATATCTCAATAAAAAGAGACCTGAAACAACCTAGGAGATTAAGTTTTATGTTTTCCACACATTCCGTCTGCACTGTTGGCCCCTATACTTACTCTTCAGTCTATTAGCTTGGAACAAATAAAACCATGTAAGCAAGTCTTCATAAAATTATGGAAGTTTATATATAATATTGACTCTGATCCATTACTACCTGTGAGTTGATTCCACTAAATGAGCTTGTGTAGACAAGTTCTTTCTCTCTCTTTGTACTAATAGTGTGTCATCTTGAATACAAAATCAGCAAACTGATGAGCATGACCACATTTCAATGAAATGTAAAAAGTTTAGTTTCTGTATATTTCTTAATACCATGAAGAATAGCCACTGGTTAATCATGACAGCAGACAGTAGTCAGATTACCATGTACCAATAGCTTCTGCTCATGTAGGATCTCACATTAACACCCAATGTTTTGCTTTGTTACCTTGCAGAAATGTTGGAATCCAACAATGTGATCACTTTCAATGGCTTGGCCAACAGCTCCAGTTATCATACCTTCCTTTTGGATGAGGAACGGAGTAGGCTGTATGTTGGAGCAAAGGATCACATATTTTCATTCAACCTGGTTAATATCAAGGATTTTCAAAAGGTATCTTCATTTTAATATGTACACTGTAGTTCTTGTGAAACATCTTAAGATAAATAGAATTTTCTAGCTATTAAATATGACAACTTATAGAAATAACTGTTTTAAATRAATATTTTATTTTTTAAAATGCAAAAAAAATAATGACAATATCAAATTAATGGATGCAGTAAGTCATAAACATTATCAATGAAGAAAAATACTAACTTTAGCTAATTCAACAATAATTATATAATTTTCCTGCAATAAATTAAATAACTAAACTGATGAAAAATACATCATTACTGATTTCATGCATTATATATATGTAATGTATTTATACATTTCTCTATATTGCCAGCAAATGCAAGATTCATCAAACAATTTCTCACATGCATAATCATATGTGCCACCCATGTTTGAAAATAAAGTTTTATTGGAACACAGGGATTCTCATTAGTTTACATATGTTCTATATCTGCTTTCATGCTAAAACAGCACAGATGAGTAGTTGTGACAGAGATAATCTGACCTGCAAAGTCTAAGATATTAACTATCTGGCATTTTAAACAAAATGATTTAGAAGATCAATCTTAAAAAAAAGAAAAAGATAAAGAAAAAGATCAATCTTCAAGACGTCAGATTTTTACCAATGTGAACATTTATACATCAGCAAGAAACCAGTTTATCCTGATTTCTTTTAGTATTTTTGTCTTATATGTAAGCTATACAGGTTGAAAATAAACACGAATTTATAATCTAGGAGAAATTGTGCTATTAAATTTACATGTGACACTCTAAATTAACTATTTTTAGGTAGTCAGTTCTTCCAGTCTTATTTCCCTTAGGAACATAGGTCTTTATGAAATATTTTTCATGAGAACCATAACACAACTTGCTTTTTGGAATGTATACATGTCAGCATCAATGTGTATTGGTTTTGCTTCTTAACATGGAGGGCTTTAGAGTTGTGTGCCTTGACTACTCAGAAACTAACAGTTTGGATAGTAACTTTCAAAAAGTCCCTAAATTGTAAAAAGTTTATGTTCTCGTTGGAGAATGCTGCTTTTGGTACAAAATAGAGGCTTATATTCAAATATAAATTTAGTTTGAAATTCATTAGGAGTTAGGTGACTATTCATAAATAGCATTAATAAATAGCATTAAACTAAGACTGTTCCATTTTCTTCTGTTACCCAAACATTAATATTCTGATCATATTCATAAAGAGGTTTAACTCATTATATGTAGTTTTATAAAAAGAAACACACATACACACACACAAATGTGTGTGTGGCATATGATATGGCATTTAAAAATCACTCTTGGCATTTTTTTTTCTGATTTTTTAAGTTGATTGATTTCTAAGCCTCCTCAGATGATAGTAATACATACTTAAGATTATCTATTATCTAAGAAAATTGTTATTCATTTGTTTTTCCAAAATGATAAAAATGCTTGCATTAATCTTTCAAAAATCTCACAAAATACTTTTTATTGTTGTATTATCAAACAGAAATTGCTCTTTATGAAATGAAATCAAAACATAGAATGATTAAGAAAAATCTGACATTTTAATTTTAGGAAATTATAACAGTTAAACTTTTCAGTATTGTTTCTATTATTTTGTAAAACTGATATACAAAAATATATACATGGATGGATAGTATATAAGCACAGATCACCTTACACTATATGTTTCATGTGTTTAACATTTTTATTTGGATAAATATTCTAAATTTGGCTTATGTATTAAATGTTTCTAAACTGAAAGGTACCAAGTTATCATAAAAATGTACAAGTTTATAACTGAAACAAATCCTAGAGTCACTTGTACACCTAGCATGCATATTACAAATATTATATATATATATATATGATATATATATATCATATATATTATAGTAATTTCTACCAACTGGAATTGTAATAAATATGTATGTGTTATGAATTAATTTAAAACTAAGTGAATTGCTTATTATCTTAGTATTTTTGTTATAATTCTTACCCTTGAGTTTAAAAATATCATACTAAAAAGAGAAGACATTTTTCTAGTTTTAAAACAACCCATTTAAAACAGATTATTAATTTTAATAATCTGTTTTAGTTTTATATTTTGTTTAAAAGAATAAATTCAATTTACTTAAGTGTTTATATCTGTTTATTTATGTTTGGTATGTTTATTTATTTATTTTTTTTAAATACTTTGTTAAACCTATGTACAGATATTTAGCAACTTTTTTGTAAACATTCACTCTTGTGATAAACTTTATAAGAGTAAATTTATGACTATGCATGTCATAAATAATTCTTCTTCTTGATTACTTTACAAGGTAATAGTAAAGATAAGATGAGTGAGCATAAATGTAAATATTGGGCCAATCCTCTTAGAGGCAAAAACACATTCTCAGCTTTGGAAGAGCTATGGAAGTTATTTACCTTAGTAAAAAGCACAATCTCTCTAAGGCATACATATTTACTAAAGATCATAAGTAAAGGGGCAGAGGTTGGAACTTGGTGGTAGAGGACTTGGTTGGCATACATGAGACCCTGGGGATCAATCTCAAACACTGAAAAAAGAAGAAAGAAAAAAATCATGAGTAAAGATTGACATGAATAGAAGCATGGAATCATAAAAAAAATAAGAACAACTGCAAAATATATCATAAAACATTCTGATTAGAAAGGTAAGAAATTTAGACAATGTTAGGTAAATTAAAAGTTTAGGAGCAAAGAAACAAAAAGAACATAGCATGAATATGAAAATTATTTTATTAATATTTGACATAACAGTGAAATCACAAAATATTATCTTATTATCTGTATTATCTCAATAACAAACACTCAAAAGCTAGGAATTATGAGAAAACAGATTGTCTTTTTAAATAAATACATATATTTGCATATATAAACATATATATGTTTAATAATCTGTGATTTTAACATAATTTATCTGGAAAGTAAATCTGTCAAAAGACAGCTCCCATATAATATTACTGTTGTACCCTAGAGAAATTTATATTTTATCTCCTCCGTGTAAACTGTAAGAAGAGATCATCTGACCTCTGCAGAGCCAATGTGAAGATTAGAACTGTGGAATGGGACTGTCCAGCAAACACTCTAGAATTTCAGGAGTCAGAAAAATGCTAGTTGTAAGGATGATACATTTACTGTCCCTGAATATTTTTATTATGACTACTTTGTAAAAATCTTGTAGAACAAGTCAGATGACAGTTTTAATTTAGACATGCAGACATATGTGAAAAGTACATAAAAAGAATATGCAAATTAAGAGCTTAATTGTAAAAATGAATGCATACTCAATAATTTCTAGGCCTTTTATATTTGTGTCATGTTACTGAAATGTGTTTATCAAGTCATCATGTTCTGTTTCAATATGGCCCAAATTCTTGCTTATAAATGTGTTGTATTTTGGTTTTTAATTCCCCAGATTGAATATCACAACCTTTGCCCATGTGTGTGACCATATAAATTGAATTATCTGGAGGTTTCCAAATGAATGGTAATCAGTCATTTTGAGGCTAAAAGCTTTCCAGCAGACATGAATGATTAACTGCCACTGTCTCTGGATTTTTCTTTTACATATGACATTTTTTTCTTTGAAATTCACTAATATTACTAGAAGAGAAAGATGAATAAGAGAATATTAAATTGTTCTGCCCAATACAGATAGATTCACTGGAATTACTCAKGGGATCTGGAAAATTCTGTATTAAAATTTAGATGAGTGCATTTGGGTTATTATCATGGAGAAAAATATATCCAACTGTCCAAGTTACCAGTAACATTTGGCTCATCTACCACTGTGACCATATTTACAAAATTTGTAAACTTTGAACAGATAAAAAGCAAATATTAGAGATGAAAATACAATTATTCCTCAACTAGTCTAACTTTAGCCCATAGTGGGAGGGTAATTTTTTTTTTCTTTTACAGTTCCAACTTCATATTCCAAAAATATACAGTTCTACTCTTAAACATTTTCTCTTTCCAAAAGAAAAAGAAGAAGAAAAAGATTCCTTTGTAAAATGGGATTTCACACACTTTGAATTCTCATTCTAGCATGGCATCCTGAGATTTGGATCAAAGCAATAGATCCAGGGCACCCCAGTGTTAAAATTTTAAAATCACTATTTCCTGATAAATACTGACCGATTTAGAGGAGTATGGGCCATATTCTGTGTTGATTTTTACTTCTTCTGTAGATTCTCACATCCCCAGGATTTTCTTACTTTCCCAGTCTGTGAGACCATTCTTTCCACTGTGTACTGTTCAAATGTATTGACTGCATTCATTTGTCTTATTCAACTTTCATGAACAACAAAGGTAATGGGTAGACAGAAAATGATTAACCAATTAACTGATATTCGAATGTCTAAACTGAAAATTTCCTGTCACATGATGTTTTGTGGAAATTTCTTTACCTTAGCTCCCCCAACCTCATCCAAAATATTATGCAATGTTAGATCTCACAGAGAACTTAATTGGCACAAAATAATGTTTCTTCTCTATCCTTAGATTGTGTGGCCAGTATCTTATACCCGAAGAGATGAATGCAAGTGGGCTGGGAAAGACATCTTGGTAAGCATTAATCTACTAAATCATTAATTTCTTAAGTAATGTATTACTMTATTTTTATTCTTTGTTCTATTAAACATCATACTGTACTTATGGGCTTAATCACTCAAGGAATAAAAGAATACTATTTGATTTGGGAAGCATTGATAGTTTTTGAAAGAAAATATTCCTCAGTAAAGAAAACTACTGTCCCTTTGATGATTTATATATGCCAAGGATACTAGTAAAATGCAATTTCAGCAGAAATACTTATATTAAATAAGTTAACTTCTTTCTGCAGGTTGATTCACATATGTTAGTCATTCTATAATTTATCTTAAATGACATTGTTTCCACATCTGAATTATCATGATTTAGTTACCCCTTTTTCTTTGTGTTCCATTCTTTTTCTTTCTTCCTCTCATTTTTACAATAAATATTGATTTATAAATAAATATTGTATGTAACTTTTTTACATACAATATTTACATACAAATATTTACATGCAAAATGACCTTTTCCTGGACACTGTAGAGCCAAAGGTGAATAATATGCAACCCCTATGATGGTTTTACCATTGTAAAAAGGTAAGCTTTGTTAGTAAAATTAAATGGGCACTGACTTGGGCTTTAGCCAAGTGTCTACACAAATCATGGAAAATAGTTATAATCACTTCAATGGATTAAAATAAATTACAGAAATGGAAAAATATAATTTTTAAAAATTATTTTTATCAATCCTTTGGAATGTCTAAAACACAAAGARATAAGTTTTAAAGTTTTGTCTATTTTAAAGCATTGGCATTTAGAAGGAACTTATACTGTGTGTTGCCTAAAGAAACACCGACCTCCGTTTTGTATGGACAACTTGACTGATTTGTAGCAGCTGCCTAAATTGATATTTAGATTTCGAAGGATGTAAAGGGAGGATCTGAGTTCATAGGAAAAGAATGCCTCAATTTATTAGCAATGTTGGCCACTGGTGACTTAAAGTAGGTTAAGGAGCAAAAAGCCTAGGTAGTCCCCATCCTTGATCCACCTAAATGTTAACAAATATGGGAAAGTCATCCTTGAAAATTATATATTAAATCTAAGTATATGTTAAAAATGATTCATGATGTTAATTTAAAATAGTAAAGCAGCCTTTTTTCAGGACTGCTGTAGTGAAATTTTGTAGGTTGAGAGTAAAAATGGGCTCCAATCTGAATACAAAAATAGGCAGAATACAAAGATAGGCAGTGCAGTCATGAAGCAGGGTGGGGTCAGTGGATGGAAAATTACTGGGAGGAAACTTCAGGAGTAAGGGGAATTCTGGCTAAACTGACTTGACAAGATTATTGCTAAAGGCAAACCGGGTTGGGTAATGCCAGTGGTGAATTTGATCAGATATCAACAGAGGGGGACTTTTTCTAAATTAACCAGCAGGATTCTTGCTAAAATCAAAACTAAGCAGAGATGAATTCAGAAACCCTACAGAAAACAGTTTAGGGGAGCCTGACTAGAGTTAGGTCAGTGAGAGTCAACCAATGTAAGTCACTCCATACCGTGATCATTTATGTAGACCAAAAAAAATTTTTTTTCAAACTTTTACTCTCCAAAACTGATGCATATGTTGAGACTTTTGTAAAGGACTTTTTTCTACTCAGAAAAAAACAAAGAAGTAGGAATCCAGAAATTCTGAGAATTGTACTGCAGTACTCTTTCTGACTCATTAAATGTCCTGAGAAATTATTTTAACTTTCTTTGGGGTTAAATTTCCCATCCATTAAATGGAACAAGATATATTATATGACTATGAGAACAAGTTTTAATAGGTATTGTACTAATTATTAGGAACAAAAACACTTCACAAATGTAAGGTCAAAATGCATAACTCCGTAAATAAAAACTTACTAGCATTAAAATGCCACACTTATCATTAATAAATTACATTGAAATTTTTCAGTACAATAACTGAGGATGAATAGAAATGATTATGTTACCTTTATAATATAGTTGTTATTTCTAAAAAATGCAGACTTCTAGATTTTTTTTAATGTATAAAAGGTAAGGAGAAAATTACTGAGAAAATTAAGATGCTTTCTGGTACCAAGCACTACAGTAATTTACAAAGGATTTTGCAGATGTTATTTTAACAACAGTTTTATGAGGTGGGTATAGTTACCCCCATATTCTTGATTGGGAAATAAAATAATTCAAAATTAGCATTTCATTAAAAGATGTTGTAACATTTTGAGTATTATGGTAGAAGTTAGGATAAAAAACTAGGCACACTTCCTGTGCCCTTGTGTTGTTTTTATTGTTAGCTGGAATATTTTCATTTGAATGTGCCTATTACATGATATATAATACAGAACTGAACAGATATCTTCCCTTTGTGAATCATCAAAAGTGTGATACTAATAATAACCAGCTCTCAGAGTTCTTATAAAAGAAATACAAGTGAAATTATTTCAAGACTGTGATATTAACTATTAATAATATCAATGATAAATTACTAACAATTAGTGTTATTGGGATATGTGATAGAGTTATGTGCACAAAGTTTAATTAAAAACATTATTGATGAAATTTCAGCAGCTGTAATAAACTCACGATCTCACAGTGCCCCACAGTTAACATAATCGTGAATTTAGAAATTTCTTCTCTAAACAGAAGGACAACTTTACTGTATTTTCCAGGCTTATTGAAAATGCCTACATATTTTAGGGAACTAAATCAAAAGGAACTAAGGCACATGGAGTTTAGTAAATCTGATACATTGCATAAGTGACACCTGATCATGTCATACCATCTTTTTAAAAGGGATGGAKTGAACTCAGGGACACTCAACCACTGAGCCACATCCCCAGCCCTATTTTGTATTTTATTTAGAGACAAGTTCTCACTGAGTTGCTTTGCGCCTAGCTTTTGCTGAGGCTGGCTTTGGACTCGCTATGCTCCTGCCTCAGCCTCCAGAGCCCCTGGGATTACAGGTATGCACCAGAGTGAGCTGGGCATGTCATAGCATCTTATTACAAAGATTCTCAAAAAACTTATCTCTACTGTAGAGTATGTCATATGCCATACTCTACAGTAGAGATAAGTGCTTTGAAAGAGATTATTTTTTACATGTTCAATCATATGATTACCCTAAGTAATCTTTTCAAATGTAAACTAATTAGCATTATAAAATATGTGTGCTTTTTGGTATTCTTATACATTCTGCATTAAATAAGTTCAATTGTGCATTTTGAATTCTCTTCATAATACTTATTTAATGAAATGAAAACAAAATAGTTTTGACATATTTTATTTCAAAAAATGTATTTTCATCTAGTTCTAATTAACACTTAATTATATTTCTATATACTATTTTTTGGTAACTCTTTTTGATCCCTTATTACTGCTTTTCATTTCCATATTATTGAATATATATTTTCTGCATTTAGAATACATTTGATTGAAGTTCACTTTAGTTACAAGRCAACATCATTTAAGTATTGCCTTGATTCATATAGTCATTGCATTCAAAATAAGATGCATGGCATTCTTTGGTTGCTCTTTGACTTTCATTTACAGATGCATTTTTTTCCTCTTTCTTTCTTTACATATGATTTTACTAACACATGACTTCCTGGGATTCATAGAATTTTTCTTTGATAAACATAGAAGGTAAATATCACTAATATTTTAACAATAATTTATATAAACAATTTGAAAGATGGATTAAGGGGAAAGAACTTTTTTCATTCAACACCTGATTTGTGAAGTGACAGATAGATAGTTTGATGGAAATTCTGCACTGCATCTTGAGTAAATACCAGTCAGCTGGGATTTATGGATAATAATTCCTTTCAAAGAGCCCTTGTGATGCTGGAAACCACAAGAATGAGCCTTGAGTGGGTTTTCCAGCCATTGAGACTCCAAAATAGAATCATAATCAAAATAAGAACCGACCTGAACATTCGTAGAAAAGTGAAGTAAAAACCTCCTTGTGTGCTCTCTCTGGTTTCTAAAGTATGGGTTTATCACTTACCTGCTGTTTCCTCAAAAATTCCTTTGGAAATAAAGTGCCTTTCAATAAATCATTCTAGGGAAAGTGGTATCTTCTCAGCACTCAATTTAGATCAATAATACAACAGGAAAAGTTGGGCAAAGACACCAGCTAATGTTATCTACCTTGGGAATGAGTTTTTCTCAGATTTGTTTGAGGGAATGTTTTATTCATATACAAGGATTKCATGGTCATGGGGAAGTGGGGACAGGCCACTGGACTGAAACTACATAGTCCCTGTGTAACTGCATACAGTATCATATGTAAAAGTATTCCCTCTCCTCATTCTTCCATCCATCTGGGAAGGTCCAACCCATCCTCAGTTTTGCATTAAACATATGTCAGCAACTGCAATTGGGGCAACATTAAGTCAACAGCTGCAATTGGGGCAACTATTCATAAAGAATGAACTTTATGGTGACATGGTTTCTGCAGCTTGAAACACATATATATGGTGCACACACRTACAAATGCACAAAGTAAATAGCATATATGACATTCATTTTTTATTATTACGTATGTGTGTATATATGTATACATAGTCACAAATATTCAGAGACGTGTGTGTAGATGTRTGTATACTGGTAATGACATTTTAAACAACAGTAATCTAAACATATTTTTCTTTTGCAGTGAATATACAGGATAGAAAACATATCCTATTAATATGCCTTTATTTTCCTGGTGTTGTATGTTCTAAACATTAATATTGCTGTAGCATTTCTATTATTAGAAGAATAAAATGCTCATGAACTTTTCCATTTCTTTTTCTTAAGATTTACTTGAAAAAATATGTAATATGTAATACTATTGGAAAGAAATCCTGAATAATGAGATAAATGCAACCCATATATTTAAATCTGACTGCTGCTCTCCACCTTTACTCTCATTTTTKATATGTTCCTAGGGCATAAAATCCACTTAGTTATTCACAATAACATTTCTATTGATGGATTAACTTCTTGACCCTGTTTTGCAAATGAAAACTG